AAGAATAGGTGGATAGAGAGGACTGAGTGGGGAAAATTCCAGAAGATGGAACATATGACCGTGAAGAATGCAAATAATTTCTGGAGGCCTACGCCTAGTAGCAGAAAGAACATTATTTCTAGTAATGGAATTTATATCTTTACAGATGGGGACCCGTTAGATGTGGAATTGAGTTCCTGGAATTGTACGGCAAAGCCATCAGAAGTTAGCTGAAACAAAACTGAGAATATAATTTTTTTCCAAATCCCCCGTTACAATGTGAGGTCAGAGCGGGGGATCTCAGAGGCGGCGGCACCAACACCCCACGGCAGCCGCATGAACGCCCCCGAGCCAGCCGGAGTTGTTTTCATTGCGGTCGTACTAAACGGAGCGATAATCAAAACAGCCGAGAGTGATCTTTGTCTCTCTTTGTGAGGTGTGCCATGCCCGTGCCACAGTCCCATCAACCACAGGTACCCTCGCGGCTTCAACACGCAGCGCCGGCAGAAAGTGCGATCTTCACCTGGCCCGTTCTTCCACGGGGCCCACTCAGTTTGCACAGTAGTACCTAGTGGAGTGTGGCGAGTGTCAACGGTGGGAAGACAAAGGTGGACCAGGCGTGTGTGGTCCTATCCCAGGGGTTCGGCAACGTGGCAGCTTCCTCCACCACAGAGGTGGGCTCAAAACAGCAGCCACCGCCGCCAGCCACAGAGAGAACTCAGCGGGTTATGTACACACACCGCGATGGCGCAGGGGAGGCCACATGTGCTGCGAGTTGGACACAGGGGATTTATTTTGAGCCGGGGTTATTTGGTCTGTGGGTTATTTCGCCGTAGAGCGTTTCCATGAGGGGCGGCTGAAGGAGCGCTGCCCGCTTCGGTTCAAGCGCCCCAAGGCTCATCGCACGCTCACTCCACGGCCCTCCCGTTGACTCGCTCGCTCGTTCACTCACCGACACAATCACTCACTCGGCCACTCGACCATTGCTCGGCTACTCACTCTCTAACTTGCATGCTCAGTCGCTAACTCGTGCATTTACCTGCCGGGTCAATTATGTTTGCACCAACTTGATTACAAACATACCCAGTCTCGTACTTAGCTCACTGGCTCACACTGCAAGGATCCATACTCTTTGTTTTTTTTCGGTAAAGTCACGTAGGTAAAAAATAAAATAAATAAATAATGAGAACGCAATTAAATCACGACGTTTCGGGCGCAACACAAGCGTCCGTCTTAAGGTGGGAACAATGTAGTGAAAGCACAACCGCTTAAGTGTGTCTCAGAGATGGCTGTGACGAGGAATTATATAGTGGTTCACACTGACCGACTCACTCATTGACTCACTCGCTTGCTAACTAATCCACTCACCTGCATACTCACTCATCTACTCAATTCTTTGCTGATACACTCACCTACGAGCTCGCACGTGTTTGCACTTGCTTGCTCACTCGTTCACCTACTCACCTGTCCACGCACTCACCCACTCACTCAGCTACTTAATAAGGCACTAATCTACTAACTCACCAACTATCAAGCTCACGGCAGTCATTCACTCTCATACTCACCAAGTAATTTCCCCACTCACTCTCTCGGCATCCTTTGTGTCTCTATCTCTCTTTGTCCCCACAGCTGCCCCAGCTTCTCTCAATCTCAAATTGAATTTACCGAGGGCAGAATTACAGTACTCTGCACTCTGTTGTTATTCTTCGGAATCTTCCACTTCAACGGAAATGCCTCAGGCCCAGAGAGCCAAACTAAGGCACTTTAACGAGATTTATGTTAAAGCACACATTGCAGTGAAACTGGACTCGCGCGTATGGTACGAAAAGCAACGCAGCTTTCCAGCAAAGGCTCCCAAGCAATAATTAACACCAGTGGGAGCGTTAAGTTACGTACACATTGACAGCTAAGAGTTCATGTAAACGTTCTCAAAATCCAGCCGTTGGCCCTTCGGACCCCACCTTACTTAAACGGAGCCATCTCTCAGCACTCTAAGACGGTAACGGGGCATCGTATTCATCAATAAACATCGATACATTCGCTTAGGGTAACGTGGGGAAAATCCACACGTGCCATGAACTATGTTTTTTTGTTAAATAATCGGAGTCACGTGGTGACCCTTGCAAGCCACTAGAGGGCGCGATACTCACCGGGAATAAATTATCCTCAGCGTCATGGAGGATTAATGTCCGCGGATCCAATGATCCGCTCGGGTTATCCGTGATTTAACTCTCACCCGCGAGGGGTAGTCAGTAAGTAAAAAAGAAAAGCAATCGCCCACAATGGGATTTAATTTGCTAAGAATTTTTATCCGAGAAGAAGAAAAAAACATCGTTGGTTAATAACGAATCTTTAAATTTTACCGACGAGTGCGCCATGCACGCACACCCTGGCGGTATCTCTGCAATCTGTACAGCATCTACTGCCGCCTTGGATTGGTTGAAGGACCTTAACATTTAACTGGCATCTATACAAACTGTTGCTGACATTGCCATATGAAAGGATAAGTCTTTAAAGTGCTGTGGAGGAAGGGGGGGGGGGGTCTTAATTCTATGGCCCAAGCAGCAGCGTGCAAACCGCCAGCCACGCGGGCAAGTGACCGCTTTTGCCCAAACATCCAAACAAAGAACCACAGAGTTGGAGGGAATTATTGGCGCTGGTTCTGGCTGCCTTGCCCGTGTTGTGATTTCTTGGCGTCTCCATGCGGGGAAAAAAACTGCGCACAACACAAATTCGACTGCACGTGTGGAGATGCGATTTGCGTGATTGACGCTATATATCTAAAATCACGTGTATTTAAAGAAATCACATTGTCATTATTAATTATGTTCAAAACCCACCTGATATTTCCACAATTATTCCCTGCACGAATACACCAATCACTCATTTGCAACTCACTATTGTTCCATCATTTATCCTGATTAAGTGTCTGAGGAGGTTTTGCATATTTTAATTGGCCATTTCAATTGGTCACGCTTAAGGACTGCTATGAGACCAATTTATCGTGTTATTTATTATGTTTTAGCCTCGCCAGATTTCTTAATGGCTTGCAAATGAAGGAGCGCAGATGAATAAGACTTGGGTATTTTTTTTCTCCCTTAAGTCATCTCCAGAGAATTTCCCAAAAGTATTTTAAATAGCGTTTCAGGACGCAAACAGCCAAAGCATAACACTCATGAACACTCCATAACAGCGCCGGTGTCTCTTATTTCAAAGGGATGATGGTTAAGTCATCATCTGCCCGCCGGGGTGTAGCAGTGCATAGTAGTGCGTAGTAGTGCTCAACTCAAAATCAGAAGGTTGCGAGCTCGGCGTCGACTCAGGCCATCCCCGACCACCTGCGGTTATTAAATTAAATACCACTGTAGGAAGCAGAAGACCGAATCCTGCCAAGCAAGTGTGGAATTTCCACTGTCGATACCCGGCCATGAATGTGCTTGAGTGCCTGCTCAGGCTTCGTTGATCAGGTTCAAGATGAAGATGTCATCACGGACAAAGCTGTTGATGCCACCACACCTCGCCAACGCCTTCTGCTAGATCCTACAGATCCTACAGCGGATTCCTTAACTTCTAAGATCTGCCCGAACAGTGTCCCACCATCTGGTCTTGGGTCTTCATCTTGATCTCTGGATTGGAGGAGACCATCCAATGCCTTTCTCGGTATCCGGGCATCCTCCATTTTGTACACATGTCATACCCAACGCAACCTTCTTTGCCTTATCAGTACTGCTTTGAAATCGGGTCCATTTGTTTAAAACACCCTGTATTTACAATTATTACCGGCCATGTTACAATATGGATTTTTGCCCTGCCTATCCTATCTTGGACACAAAACTCCTAGCATCCGTCTCAGACACCTGTGTTCAAGTGCCAAACAATTGGAACAGGGGGACACTTTGGGCTCAATTCATGTGCCAGCAAAGGCTCCTTAGTGTTCGAAATGTTAAAAAAAAGTGCTCGTGTCTCCATCGGCAAAAATCTGCAGAATCAGCAAGGCAATGATTTTTAGACATTTTATTTTGCTCTGAATCAGAGCCCTTTGCGTTTTATTTTACTCTACTTATGCGAATTGTCTCTGCTGCGGCTAGTAAGGACTTTTAGAGGCCCTGCGAAGCAACCGAGGTTAAATAAAACAAGGGAGGAAAGTCCACGCATACTCATGTTTGTTACGGTACGTTTTCCAACACGTGTTATTCTTCGAGAAGCGTTTAATTAGCGGTACAAATACCAACAGATGCCTGTCAGGACCACACCCGTTCCCATATTTCCAAAAAGTTCTTTGAGCTATGGTTTGTTTCGAATTTTAGGGTAAATCCCTGATAGTAACAAAGTATGATATGATATAGTCCGAACCATTTTGGATTATATTTACAAGAGTTATCGTTCTCTCTTCCTTCATTTCCCCCATTACATAAGGACGGAACTAATGCATACACGATTTTCAACCTTATTTGGAAATGGTGTTAAAAAATCAAACGCACACACGCAAGATCTCAATGTCATATGGCCCCCTTATGTCAATCCACTACTGGGTGAGTACATCCACATACCAGTACAGGTCGTGAAGGTTATTTGACCATACTTCACCACGCTAATCAGCGTGGGTTTGTGAAGCTGAAAGGGAACGCACGTGTGGAAACGTACAAGTACGGTACAACAATGGATTTTGCTGCAGTGTCCTCTACAGGCCTTATGAAATCAGGTACAAAAAAACAACAAGTGTAAATTGCTTTGAACCTCGGTTGGCCACCCTGCATGTATGCTGAACTTCTTTTGCACCGCATGTAGCCAACCGTGCTAATCAGAGGTGCGGGGAGGGGGATGGACAATGGAACACAAAGCGCAGCTCTGAAGAAATGAGTTTCCAATCTCGATTTCAAAGTGCACACCTCCAGTGGCTTCCTACTATCTGAAGGAAGAGAGCGTTCCAGACAGCCGCAAGAAGCACGTCTCAAAGCGCGCGATGTTCACCGGTAAGCCCCCCATTTAAAGATCTGGGCCTGTGATCGCACCCACCCCACCTGATGATGTCCTTGTGTCCGTTCTTGGCGGCCAGATGAAGGGGAGTCGTGCTGTTGGGCTCCGTGATGTCGGACGATTTCCCCTCCAGCAGGGCGCTGCACATGTTGCTGCTCAGCAGCAGCTGGGCCACCTTCACACACAGGCGCAGAGGGGTGCACAGAGCAGAGAGGATGAGCAACCACGATCACCCCCCCCCCCCCTTTTGTCGACTGGCACGCGATGGTTTGCTCCACGGGAAAGCACTCAACGATGCGCTTTCCAGCATTGAGAGCGAAACGTTGGGCTTCGTGCCGAGCCGACACGCGGCACAACCCGAGAAACACAACGGAGGAGGGCTGTTTGGACACTTTTATTTAACTTGAGGTGTTGTCCATTTTATCGTCTTTCACATGTTTGACGCTTATTTCCTTCGGTCTTACGAAGCCAAGCGAGCTGAAGTTTTCCACACAGACTCGTCTCGCGTGACAATTCAAGATTTTATTAAAACGACCAGTCCAGATCCCGCCGATCATGTGCCTATTCACGTTTTCACTTAACTTGAATAGTTATTAATACTCATATATTTAACCCCCCCCCCCCCCCCCCCTGTTTTTTTGCAATCACGAATGGTCGCGCCCATCCACGAGGGCAAACGTCTCGTCCAATCAGAGCGGCTGTTGGGGAGCCTCTGACCAATGAGAGGCGTGCAAATTTCGCCACTCGTCATGCCGCCGGAGCGGCCACTGCTGTTTCGCTGTCCTCAGCTGCGAGACCTACAATTGCCATAATAATTCCTACTTTTCGATTGTTCAAACAATTACGTAGTTATAATCGTAATAGATTTAATATAATTGTTTGCGTTGACACGCCCGTTCCGATGCGCTGAGCGCAACCTTGGTGACAACTGTGATCATGATTTAGAATTAAATGCTGTAATGTTATCCCTATTTTCATTGCAAAAATGCTCGAATTAATATTGTTGATATACAAGCTTTTAATTAAAGTGATATATCTGTGCAAATTGAATACGGTGTTGCGATATGCACTATTATGCATATGCGCGCATTGTTATAGCATTGCAGTCATTGTAGGGTCCAGAGTTGAGAAAGGCAAGCCATCATTGCCATCTCTACAGGGTCATTAAAGTGATACGAAGTCGTCAGTGGTTCTAAAAATGGTCCCTGTCATGGAAATGTGGAATTTCCCCTGGTAGAGAGGAGCACCGCACAATGCCCGTAGAAGCATAGAGGCCTTTTGTCAATCCACTGCTGGATGAGGGCCTCCCCACACCGGGCTGCTTGTGGAGGCCGTTTGACCATACTTCACCCCGTCAGTGCGGATTGGTAAAGGGGGGCAGCATAGACTTACAGTACAACTCGATATAAACAGAACGTCGCCCGGAAGCCCTATGACAACCTGTGTGTGCATGGTGGACACCCATCCAGACACTGTCCAAGCCCAGATCTGCTTGGCTTTCGAGGTCCGACCAGATCGGGTGCATTCCAAGCCCGGTGATTTGTTCATTGGCGAAGAGGGTTATAGTGATGCTGTTCTTAACAGTTAACATCTCACGATGGCGAGATGTTAACTACTTCGCCTGGTATACAGGAGGTCGTGGATTCGATGCTGACCCTCACACCTGTATTTCTGGAGTTTGCATGTTCTCCCCGTGATCGTGTGGATTTTTCCCCAGTTTTTCCCTCCACGTTTACAAACGTGCTTCGAGTATTTGGCTGCTATCAATTTCCACATGATAAGCCACTTCATTGCGCTATCATTGTGGCTAGGTCGCTTCTGAAAAAGAGTTATATAGCTCCAGTGGGTCTTACCGGTTGAAAAGAAATAGCAGTTATAATATATTTACGGGACAAAAAATTACTTATAAAACTAGTTTTTCAATGCACACACGTTAATTTGCACATTAAAGTAGAAAGTAAATTATTTTGACCCCAGAGTTCAAGTGATCTGAGAGCCCCACGGTGTATAAAGTGTGATTTCCATCTACAAGTCAGGCAATCTCTCTGCCCTCTCTCTGCCAAGGGGCATTGCTTACTGTGTAAGTCTAAGGTGTATTTGTTGGGGTACGAGGCAGTGTTAATAGCAAACGTGTCAATTAAGACTGCCATGGGAATGTGGAATTTCTACCAATCGCTTAAGGTCGCCACCAAAGTAGAGTGCCACCCTTCACTAATCTCAGAATCAGAATCTTTATTTAGACTGCAGGAGGAGGAATCCGATGAGCTATGAAGCTCTTTTCCACAGATGTCCAGTATGGGTAGGTCGTCGGGCTATTTTATTTTAAGTGAATAAAACTCAGTTGTATATAGCGCCATTCACACAAGGCCTCAGCGCTTTGCAACACAATCCCAGTAAAAACCCTTAACATTCAAACTAAGAGGAAAACCACCCCACGCAGAAAGATCCGCAGGAGAAAATAAACGTGTTTTGTGACGAGCCCTAAAAACCTCGACTGACGGAACATCCCGAACGGACCGGGACAAGACGTTGTTTCCTCGTGAACTAAATAAACTGTGTAAAAACCCCCATCTAATATTGTATTAACAGTCTATATCAAGGAATGCTTTGCATTCACACTGTTCACACTGCAATGCTGCATTATTCCATACTTGAATATGCATCGCGGCCAGAAAATACTGCTGCCGCGATGGCTTTCGCACATTTATAAACAGTTGCATGCTCATGGCGTTTTTTTTTTACGTCTTAAATAAGTCTCGGAATCCGAGGCGGATCTTTCACGCTGGCTCGAGTTACGATTGCGGTAGCATGAAAAAGAATACATGAGTTAAAAAAAAAATTCTCCCGGGACGCCAGACACATTTCTCTGCATCGTCATCCAAAATATTTATAATGCGCGTGTACAGTGATCATGTCAATCCACTGCTGGATGAGAGCCTCCCCGCATCGCGAGTTTTGTGGAAGTGATTTGACCACACTTCACGCTTGCCAGTGCGGGCTGTCGGTGTAAGCGAGCAGCATAGACATTGGGAAATACAGTGATCCCTCGTTTATCGCGGTTAATGGGGACCGGAACCCCTCGCGATAGGTGAAAATCCGCGAAGTAGGATTGGCCCCCTAGGAATTTCCGTATATGTGTGTGTGGGTACCAGAATGTTTAAAATATGTATATTTATACTTTATATATATATATTTTACTTAAATCTATTTAATTATAAAACCTTAATATTATACATTCTCTCTCTCATACGATACGTATTATGGTGTTCTACACTCACCAATGACAGTAGTATCTTGAGACTTGACTCCAGTAATGACGACGACGACGATGACAATGACGATGACAATGACGACGATGACAGACCTGTGCAGTTCGATGAATGTGATGATGAATGATGATGATGATGGTGTTACTGCACAGGTATAATGAGGCCTTTAAATCAGTTCGAAAAATCCGCGATGCACTGAGGCCGCGAAACTTGAATCGCGAAGTGGCGAGAGATTACTGTAGTATGGTACAATAACGGATTTTTATTGCACCATCCCCTGCGAGCATCATAGCCTCACAGCACCCTGCAAAGCCTGTTTTATGGATGGTATTGACCTGTCCAGACACTATGCAGGCCCATACCGGTTTACTTTCCGAGATTTGACATGTTGAAGTAAATCAGATTTTGAAGTTGAAATGGATCATGGGCAAAGGCTGCATATAAAAGTACAGCATAGATCAAAAGACAAAGATCCTCAATTTACCTGAATAGAATGCCGGGGCAAGTGGTGTTAGTGAGCACTTACAAGGCTAATATGGCAGACGAGAGGGTGGTGTGGATTGGGCAGGGGTCCGTAAACAAAATAAGATTGTTTTTTCGAATTCAGTAATAAACAACCTCTATCTTCTTGGTTTTTATTTGATTATGTTTTATTTTATTATTTATTATTTCCATTCTACGTGACTTTACCGAAAGAACCAAGAAGATGAATCCCTGCAGTCACGAAAGCTTTAAATCGAAACAACCTCTATTTCAAGAGCATGTCAATGCAACGCAATGTGAAAACGAGACGGTGCTCCTTAGTAAATAACAGCCACGAAGTAGCTCTCAAAGAACCGAACGCAGCTTCCGAGCTGCAGGCTGCCGGCCCCAGGGATCGGACCAAACATACCTGGCCCCCTTTGTCTTCCCATTAGTGACACTGACCACACTGCACTCGGTTCTAATTGGTCAACTGAGTGTGCCTAGTGGAAGAACAGGCCAGGTTAAGATTGCAATGTCTGCCGGCGATATGTGTCTCAAAGCCAGGAATCTAACTGTGGCTGATGGGACTGTGGCACAGATTTGGCACGGCTCGCATAATGAGACAAAGATCCATCGTGTAGCCATTCCGACCGTAAGAGCGAGCGCTGTTCCATGAGCAATCGTCACGGCGGGCGTGGGGCGTGGCAAGGGCACAGAGGGCAGTGACTTAGACGGCGGAATGCCATGCCTGACCACCTTTGTCTCCCCCAGCTTACACGCCACACTTCAGGCTGACTCGACCTAGGGGCGGGAGGGGCCCCCGGGACCAGTTCAGACATCATGAGCTGCTAATGTTGTCCTTGGCCTGTGTCAGATAAATATTTGTACACCCAGGGTGAACAATTTGTTTTCCCCACGAGTGAACAATCGTTCCAGTTTGGGTTTAGGGTTAACGTGACTTTGATAAGGAGAGATATCCAAGAGGGGACTCGATATTCCCAGATATTTTAGAATTATTGCTTCCTAGGGGGAGCAAATAACCGGTGAGCTCAGAGCGTAGTGCGCTAACCGCTGCACCGCCGCTCGTCTTGCGCTCGCGTGAAGACGGAGATGAAGATCCCCGAATAACCCAGGCAGGCTGTTCGGGGGGACGTGCTGATACCAAGCAGCTATGAAGGCCGGAATGGCGCATGAGGAGATGCTGTGACCAGCACTGCACCCGACCACCTTTGTTTTCCCAGTGCTGATGTTTACACACCGCACCAGGTACTCAGTTAAGGCCAAGTCGACCTAGGGGAGTCCAAGAACCGGTTCACTGTTTTAAGGCCGTGAGCCAGCATCGGACTCGGGTTGCCGGGTTTGCAGCACAGCGCACTGACCACTAGGCGACCGCTCCCCGTACACGTGCACACACATGCCTAGACTTCTAAAAGAAAAAATCTCATCAGCAGGCAAACACAGGGAGATTGTGAAAATAAATACAAAGCAATTCCCCGCAGGAATATAAAAATAAAAAGGCTGAAATCTTAATTCAGCAGTGCCATGCACAACCAGCCAGCCGTTTCACAGCTACTCACAGGTACGTAATTTATGGATGCATTCGCGCAGTTATACTGGGATATAAACACGCGCTGCGGAATGTTCCATTCCCACACGGGGGTGAAGAAGGATGTTCGCTGATGCTGCTGCTGCTGACCTTGACGCGGCCGAACTCGCAGGCCATGTCGAGCGGGGTTTTGTTGGCGCTGTTGACGATGCACGCGTTGGACTGGTGCTGCAGCAGCATCTCTGACTGCAGAGACGACAGACGATAGGGGGGGCACAGAGGGCAGAGGGCACAGGAGGCAGAGACACAGAGGGCAGGGGGGAAGAGACAGAGGGCAGAGACACACAGGGCAGGGTGCACAGAGAGCACGGCCATAGAGAGTGCGGCATGAGTGCAAAGTACAAACTGTGGAGTCGGCACGTGCAGTCGTGTCTGTGTGTACGTTTAAATATGTGTTTCATTTTCATATTACCTCGTTGAGAGCTATAACAGCCAAGGGAGGGAATGGGCCGAAGAGGGCGTCCGCCGTGCAAATTGAGTATTTAATCAGCTCGTGGGCAGGTGCTGAGTGAATTGTTATATCATACGGACAGTGAGAGATGGCATTGGTTTGGGGGAGCCTTTATCCAGCAGTGGATTTATCAGGATGATGATGATGCTGATGAGAGACCATTTAAGCCAACATTTTTATTTTTAAAAGAATACTTGGGTTGTGAGAGTCATATAGAATACATATGGAAAAAAATCTAAAGTATTCAAGGTCGACGTTTCGCTGCTAAGAAGGCAAACCTTTTAGAAAATACCTCGTTATATTCAACGTTTTACATATTACGTAAAACTTTAATTGTCGATAAAAATGTGAATAACAACGTGGGATAGGGCATGGTTCAAAAGCGCTTGCTTTCAAATTGTCCATGCAATGAGCCCAATTGCCCATTTAACTCCGACTGTGAGGTAATGGTTTTTAAATGTAAAAGATGCAATACTGCTCCAAGTACGAGGAACGTTGAGAAATAAGCAATGTTTCCAAACCTATTATTTACTAAATAGCCAAGCAGACGATGCCTCCTTCACATATATGTCTCAACACACGTGGGTTTTTTTGTTAACCTCAACATGTCGACTTCACGAGCTTCCGGGAGTGCACAAATTCAACAGCATCGATTCTGTCGAAACCGGTCCACAGAATTGCTTCCATTGAATCAATGCTGCTGAAATTATGCACTCCCAGAAGGCCATGGGTTGTGTAAAGAATATGTATTCTTTTACGTGGAGAGACATTCTATGCTGGGTAGTAGGGCCTTCTCGAGTGTGGTGCCTAAGATATTGAACTCTCTTCCAGATTTACTCAATCATCAAGACTCATTTTTTCCTTTTAGATTTCCTTGAGTATGCCCCCTCATTTTGATATTTTTGTATATGTCTAGATTTTATATGTCAGACTACCTTCATTTAATTCATCCTGTAAAGTATTGCGATGCCCTCTTCAGTGGGGGTCGAGTTTTACTAAAACAAATATTTAAATGAATGAATGGAATTTGAATATTATCTGGTTATATAGTGTGTTGTTTGTATTCCCCACAACGATACTAATGATTTGACGTGAGTCTTATTCCCAAGTATGCTTCAGTCACTACGATACAAACACAAATAAGAAATAACCATCATGTAAGCTATCGGACACCAATTTGCAGTTGTGTGGTGCTCATGGCGGTGGTAATTGAGGTGGTGATAATGGCGATCATAGTAGGGGAATGACAGCTCCGTTACGTATCGCTTGCGAGGGGTTGTGATGGCAGTGGAAGTGATGGTCAAGGTGATAATGGCTGAGGGGGTGGTGGTGGCATTGATGATAGTGATAATTGCGGTGCCTGTGGTGGCAAATGGTGATGGTGGTAGCGATGCCAGCAGTAGCAGAGGCCGTGGAGGGCGTTAAAAAAATTAGCAAACAAATAATGAATTCATTAATTGAATCGTGACCCCAAGTCGTGACCTGGAATCGTGACAATTAATTGTCTCGTGGAGAAGGCGAATTGCTGCTCTCCTAGCGGATGATGCAATATTGACAGTGGTAGTAGTGACGGCGATGATGGCAGAGGTGATGATGGTTGAGGGAAGCAAAGTCACAGCTAAGGTGCAGCACTGCTCTTGCTCTCTCTCTCACCTATGAATCGTGGTGCTGGTGGTGGGGTTTTTTTGCAGAGAAAGCGATTGCTGGTGGCATCACTGCTGTCTCTCTCCCTTTCTCTTTATCACTTGGCCATGGTGTACGTTAAGATGGTGGTAGGTAGTGGTGATTGTTGTGACAACAACAGCAGTGGTGGTGGCACAACCATTTTCTCTCACCACTTACGGCACTTAGTGGTGATGACAGTGTCGACAATGATAATGATACGCGTTTTGGTAGAGGTGGTGGTGGCAGTGGTTCGTGGTGGTTGTGGTGGTGGTGATGGTAGTTTCGGCGAGAACACCATCATCACCCTCACCACCTGGTAGTGAGGGTGATGATGGTGGTGTCGTCAACGAGAGAGGGGTGAGCGACGTGCTTGGCGGTGGTGGCAGCGTGAGTCGTGGTGGTGGTGGTGGCGGTGGTGGTGGCAGCGTGAGTCGTGGTGGTGGTGGTGGCAGCGTGAGTCGTGGTGGTGGTGGTGGCAGCGTGAGTCGTGGTGGTGGTGGTGGTGGTGGCAGCGTGAGTCGTGGTGGTGGTGGTGGTGGTGGCAGCGTGAGTCGTGGTGGTGGTGGCAACGAGGGTCGTGGTGGTGGTGGTGGCAGCACGAGTCGGGGTGGAGGTGGTGGTAGTGGCAGCGTGAGTCGTGGTGGTGGTGGCGGTGGTGGCAGCGTGAGTCATAGTGGTGGTGGTGGTGGTGGCAGCACGAGTCGGGGTGGAGGTGGTGGTGGTGGCAGCGGTAGGCAACTGCCGCGGGCATCAGCGCCGCACGCTCACCACTTGGTGGTGGCCGTGCTGGGCTGACAGATGCAGGGGGATCTCCCCCTCCTCGGACTGCGCATTGACGGAGGCTCCGGCACGCAGCAGCAGCAGCGACGGCTCCGCCTTGCCCTGCCACGCCGCCAGGTGCAGCGCCCGCATACCTGCCCCCAGAGTCAGACACAGCCATGTTCTATCCACTGCTGCCGACGTCTCTCACGCCCCTGCGACGCCAGGGTCCCATTCTGCTCCTGTGCACGAGGTGAACTAATTGCTCCAACGTGGTGGTGGTGGTGGGGCTGGTGGTCCTCTCAAACAACCCCGTGACTTGATGTGGCTTGGGAAGGCCTCTAACTTAGCGGTGGTTTGAGAAAGGGCTATCAATAATCGTGATCATTATGTGCTGCGTAAAGAGGTAGGAACAGGGCCAGAGTGTATGTTATGATTGGGACAGAGATAAGATGAGGCTAGAGATGAGGTTCGAGACAGGCTTATTAGATATGTGTTAGGATTCGGGTAATGTTTGATGTTCAGATTAAGTGTTAGTTTTGGGTGTGTTGCGTTTGGTTATAGTCGAGATTAAAGCTAGGGATAGGATTAAAGTTGTGATTGTGTGTTAGATTAGTGGAATATATTGGTTGGGCTAGAGTCATGGTTAGTGTTGGGACTGAAGCTAAATAGTAGGTTTAATACGAGGGTTTTGGTTAGAATTAAGTGTTAGGGCTAAAGTTATGGTTATAATTGAGTGTTCGGTTAGTGACACTTTGGGGTTTAAGTTAAAGTCACTGATGCTAATACCCGTGCTATGGTTAGGATTATAATTAACTGTTAAGGCAATAGTTCAGGGTTGGATTAGGAGTGAGATTTGTGGTACAATTGAGCTTGGGTTAGAGTTATGGTTCAGGTTTGGGTAAAGATTTAGATTTTGGGGTAGTGCGTAGGTTGACGTTAGAGTTTCTGTTTGGAATCAAATTGGGATAAGCGTTTGGGTTCAGGTTAGAGTTAAAGATAGGGTTAAGGTTCGGGGTTCAGGTTCGAGTTAAAGATAGGGTTAAGGTTCGGGGTTCAAGTTAGAGTTAAAGATAGGGTTAAGGTTGGGGGTTCAGGTTAGAGTTAGAGATAGGGTTCAGGTTGGGTTCAGGTTAGAGTTAGAGATAGGGTTAAGGTTGGGTTCAGGTTAGAGTTAGAGATAGGGTTAAGGTTGGGGGTCCAGGTTAGAGTTAGAGATAGGGTTAAGGTTGGGGGTTCAGGTTAGAGTTAGAGATAGGGTTAAGGTTGGGTTCAGGTTAGAGTTAGAGATAGGGTTAAGGTTGGGTTCAGGTTAGAGTTAGAGATAGGGTTAAGGTTGGGGGTCCAGGTTATAGTTAGAGATAGGGTTAAGGTTGGAGGTCCAGGTTAGAGTTAGAGATAGGGTTAAGGTTGGGTTCAGGTTAGAGTTAGAGATAGGGTTAAGGTTGGGGGTCCAGGTTAGAGTTAGAGATAGGGTTAAGGTTGGGGGTTCAGGTTAGAGTTAGAGATAGGGTTAAGGTTGGGTTCAGGTTAGAGTTAGAGATAGGGTTAAGGTTGGGGGTCCAGGTTAGAGTTAGAGATAGGGTTAAGGTTGGAGGTCCAGGTTAGAGTTAGAGATAGGGTTAAGGTTGGGTTCAGGTTAGAGTTAAAGATAGCGTTAAGGTTGGGGGTTAGATTTCCGGCTGGGGTTGTGACAATGTGTGGACATCAGTGCTCCTATACCAAGACCACCGCCAATTGCCACTAAGTGACGGTGACGTGACCACGGCGCCTGTGCCAGGCCAGGTGCGCTTTGAGGCCACGTCAAGTGTCCAAGGCTCGCTGACAGGAGGCCACTGGGCAGACCCGGGTGCCGTGTGTTGACTGACTGAGATGACCGGCAGATGCCCCAGCTGTAACCCCCTCCTGTGACTCGGGCGCCTTTCCCGATGGAGTTCCTCTGTACCTTTGTTGTCACGCAGGTCCACAGCTGCCTGGGCATCGAGCAGCAGAGAGATGAGCTCCGAGTTTCCCATGAGAGCCGCATGGTGCAGCGCGGAGAACCTAGACAAAGATCACCCGCATAGCCTTAACAAACTGTCGGGGCAAGTGCTGTTAGTGGGCACACGCACACACACATGCACGACCCCCAATCGGCATGACAGACCACAGGGGAGAACGCTGTTAACGAGCACCTATTAGGGTCAGGATGACACGAGAGGGTGTCATGAGGCCAGCATCCATGCCTGGTTGCCCCTGTCTCCACATTCCCGATGTTCACACATCAGGAATGATTTGTACAGATTCTATTTGCTTCCCGCGTTGTGCATGGCTGGGAGTTGAATGCGGGTATCTGGAGGTCATACAGCAGTGTGCGAACGTCTGCAGCTTTGCTCCATACACACATGCACACAGAGACACACACGTCAAAAAAACAGGTACACACACAAACATAGACAAAGATCCCCTGTATAGCCTTAATAGACTGTTCGGGCAAGTGCTGTTCGTGAGCACCTATGGAAGCCGGCACGGCACACGAGGGGGTGGGCGGGCAGCACCACGCCCGTTCGCCTTTGTCTCCCCAGTGGCGATGTTTACAAACCGCGCCAGATACTCATTTGAGGCCGAGTCATCCTAGGGGAGGCCCATGACCGGTTCAGGTAATCGTTACTGTTGTTGGCCATGAGCGGGAATCGAACTCGGGTCTCCAGGTTCGTAGCGCAGCGCGCTCGCCACTACACTACCGCTCCCCACCTACACACGCGACGAAGACAAAGATCCCCCATATAGCCTTAACAGACTGGAGGGGCAAGTGCGGCTGGCGAGCACCTATGAAGGCCGCTACAACTCACACGAACAGACTCTCACACACAGGCACACAACCTCCTTCAATGGCGTGTCTGCCTTGGCGTACAGTGCTTTGCTCGGTCGGGTCTCCCTTGTAAAAAGAGACGAGTCGGTCTCGGTGGGCTCGCAGCCGCTCATAAATAAGCAACGTGACTGATTGATTGATAGCGCGAGCGCTGTCACAACGGTTTACGGCGGGTAATGACGAGCGGAGAGAGAGGCCCGGCCCGCGAGGTGCCTCCAAGCGCCCGTGGGCGGCAGCCCCGTGCCCCGCGCCCCGAGCCACGCGGGTTCAGGAGGTCGCTCAGGGTTCGATTCCTGACTCGGGCACCCTGTGTTTGTGTACCTGCGGAGTTTGTGCGTTCTCCCCGCCGCTTGCGCCGGGGAGCGGAGCTCGACGCTGGCGATCCCGAAAGAGTGGCTTTTAAGAGAATGTCCCATTCATCGAGCTGTGAAAAACCTACATCAATATATTATATATATTTTTAAACGGTATCATTGATTTGGTCCAAACTTCCCAAATGCAGGACACTCATGAGAGAGTGTTCAAACTCAGTGTGGCTTCCCTTGTCGATAAGCAATTGTTATTATTATTATTACTACCTGTAGGGAGTTAAAAAAAATAGATATTGCCCTACACAAGGCTTCTCCTGGTGAGCACACAATTGCACGTGTCCGGCAGAGTGGCGTGTTTTGCCTTTAACATTCTATATAATTATAAATAGCACAATACTTTTGTGTAATGTTTTACTGTTTTATGTGCCCAGTTGCTGTGGTTAGTTTTGTGTTATTTGATGTTTCCGCCGTATTATTAGATGTAAAAAGTTGTTCTTGTACTCCTCACATTAAGTTTCTACATTAAGAACACATTCCTGCGGAGGGAGCTGGTAGGAACGTTGGGTTGCTCGGTCAATGGCCAGGGTCAACGGCGGCGTGGTGTATTCCGCAAATATGCCCGACTGTGAGGGCGGGCACAAGCCGGCGTGAGTAGGTTAAACGTTGAGTTTTATAAGGGCACCACGGGGTGACCAGCCCCTCCCCACCCAGCCCCACCCCTCCCAGCCCCTCCCCACCCTCCCCTCCCCTCTCCACCCAGCCCCTCCCTCCCCACCCAGCCGCTCCCTGCACAACGGACGGACACAATAATCCCCTGTGGGCTGGTGGAACTAGTGGGCTCCTCCCAGTATAAATATTTATTGGCACGGCACTCTTTCGATGAAAACCCTTTTCCCCATGTACTTTAAGGCAAACGTCTGGAGGTGCGACTGTTCAGGGTGTTTAAAAGCGATGGAACCAATTTCAAAGCGGTATATTTCACGATGGCAACATGTTACAATTACACAAAAAGTTACAAACGGTTTCATGAGTTATCAAGTTTTACTAACCATTTTATAAATGCTCTATGTGCCCTCCACCTGCTGTACGGAAAACATCGAGACGATAGTTGAATTCGTCCCAAACGCCTCTCTTCTCACGTTTCCCTCTGAGGTGCGTGCTCGCCCTGTGCTCTTCCCCTGACACAAACAGCCTGTTCCCTCAAATTGTCGGTACCAACGACGAATGCTCTTTGACATTGGCGGATCAATGCCAAAACGCCGTTGAAACGCACGCTGCACCGCAATTACGGATTCAGTCTTGCTGAACAGCAGAGCGCAAAACGCCTTGTGTGTTGCGGGATCACCGTCTTGCGAATGACTGAGGCTCGGGGCTGTTTGTGCGTTGTGAGAGGCGTCTCGCGGTAATCATGTGAAACTCTATGCCCCGCCCTCTCTATGCCCCGCCCTTTCAAGTGGTAAGAGTTTCATTCATGGGCGATTTGTGGTTGCAGAGATATAGTGATTTCAAATCGGGACGATCTTTTTTTAAACACCCTGTATAATCCAGTAGCTGTGTGTGTGTGTGACCAGATGTGCATACTTGTACAGATTGTGAGCTGCAGCGTAGTGGCTAGTGCACTGCACCACAAACCCGGCGACCCGAGTTCAATTCCCACTCGCGGCCAAAACCGAGTGTGCCTCCTTACGTCGACTCAGCCTCATTTGAGTGTCTGGTGCGATCTGTAAACATCAGTGCTGGGGACACAAAGGCGGCGGTGCATGGAGCTGGCCACCCACCCCCTCTTGTGCCGTGCCGGCCTTCATAAGTGCTTGTTAAGGGTAATTATGGGGGATCTTTGCCTAACTGCATGAACACACGGCACACGTTTGGTGGGTTAGGGTTCAGAATACGGTGATGTTGCAACTGATCACACGACCTCATACACGCGCAGTGCGCTCAATCTAATTAAACATCACAATACTTCAGTGGTACCAGCAAGGTCGGTGCTCAACCAACACAAAGACAAAGATCCCTCGTATAGCGGACTGTTGGGGCAAGTGCTGTTAGCGAGGAGCACCGATGAAGACCGGCACAGCACACGAGGGGGTGGGTGGCCAGAACCCCGCCCGGCCGCCTTTGTCTCCCCAGTGGCGATGTTTACACACTGCGACAGGTACTAATTTACGGCTGAGTCGACCTAGGGGATGCCCAGGACCCGGTTCAAATAATCGTCACCGGCGTTGGCCGTGAGCGGGAATTGAACTCGGCTCGCCGGGTTCGTCGCGCAGCGTAGCGCTCACCGCTACACCACCGCTCAACCAACACGCAGACACCACGCACGCACGAGCCTTCTCGCACTCTCGATTTCCTTCAGCTCAGCAGCCCAACGTGGAACCCAAATTGGCGCTCGCGTCGGCTATCAACGGGGCTCCGCGTCCGTCCGTCCAAACGCGCACAACGGCCACTCGCCACCCTCCCACCAACGCCGTGAGCTGCTTTCACGGAGCGTAGCACCAGACCATCGCTGACATCAGTGTCAAGTGAGCGCCGGCCTTGGTCAAGGTGGTCAAGGTGGCCGAGTGTGCAGGAGGAGCGCACTTGCTTAATTCCAAGCCGGCGTGCCTGACGCCGTGCGTTTTGCCTTCCCGCCTAATGAGTCAGAGTCGGTACCAGCTGCCGATGCTGCTGATGTGCGCACACTCACACACGCGCGTGTGTGTGTGTGCATCAGCAGTACACACACACGCACACGTGCGCGCGTGTGTGTGTGTGCATCAGCAGTACATACACACGCACACGTGCGCGCGTGTGCGTGTGTGAGTGTACTGCTGATGCGCACACATGCGCGTGTGTGTTTTTGTTTGTCCGGGGGATATTTTGGACACGAGGCTTCCAGCCCCCGGGGCGTGGAGGGGTGGAGGCTGCGTGATTCGCATGCGTCGTTGCCCTGGGCTAAAGCACGCGTGCATCACCACCCCCTTCTCTCTCTCTCAGAAGGCGAGAGTTAGCGAGAGTTGAAAGCTTCTCACGAGTCAACTCTGGCAGCAATTCAATGAACTGACGACGATTTCAGTGGTCGAGATTGGAATTCAACACCAATCAGTTTTTTTATCGTCTCGTTTGTATTGTTTATGGGGTTTTGTTTCCTGTCTCGCTTGTACACAGGTTGTTCACTCCAACAGCCGAAATCTAACACGAGCGTAGTTTTCACGTCCCATTCGCCTGCATTGCAAATAATCGATTTTTAAATGCGCAATTCGACGTACGAATTGCGACCGAACGATCGGAACGTAGTCGATTATTCGATCCGTCGGTGCATGCCCGCTCTGAACCAAACGCCAGCCAGATCACAATCCTCTCCCTTTCTCACCTACGGGTCTGGCGGTTTCTCATCTCAAGCTGGCGGACTCGAGCCAGCGCTGGAAATTCCACAAAGTGTGAACTCAATGTATTGATCCCACAAGATTGATGATGATGGGGTGTGTTTGACCCCCTGTTGGGAAGTACTTGAGAAACCGGACAAGCTTCCCGCACAGGATGTGACTGAAAACGTGTCTCGAACTCATTATTGAGCAAACAACATCATCGTTAGAAGTAACAATTGCCAATGATGCATTTCTCATAACATAGCTGGTGGAGCAGACACCCTTTGACATGAAAGCAGAGCCAGAGATCAAGGTCACGAGGTGATCAAAGTCAACACTGCTGATGGCCAGCACACCTCACCTCATCCTGCCAGATGCCACAAATGTTGCTCGGTCGACAACCAACATCCCAGGTTCTGATCTTCCTCCACAATCGCCTCTCTTTGGGTCTTTCCATTGCTACACAATTTGACCCGTCCCTCGGAAGACCACCGTCACATCATCTGGCATCGGCTCCTCTTTCTGTGTCGCCCA